CATGCCCAGGTAGGTAGGTACAAAGTAAAAGCTATCGAACCTACAATATATTTATGATGAATAACCATCGACGAGGCTGAGGCTTTTTCAAGCCCCGCCATTGGAATCAACGATCAATATTTACATACATTATCCTTCAGCTACACACAAAACAGCCAGAATACTTCTCTTCCAACCAATTTCCCACACTCGTTTTCACCATCGTTTCAATACTTTACATACCGTGAGCTTCCTCAAATAGAACAATAGTTTTTTCTTTTCCGCACTGCACTGCCACTCACTAACAATTACGAGGTAGTCTTGCAGATCTCATTCATTGATATAAAAGGGGCAGCCGCGCGCTTTATCCTTCTTCCCGATAATACACATCATACCCTTAATCGACTTAACATAACTACCTCAACTACTCCAAATTCCGTTCGCATACTTTCCCTGAAAATTACACTCAAACACACAATGGTTTCCACCAACGGAGTTACAGACACCAATGGAGTCACCGCAGGACTTTTCGGGCCTGAGCTCGTCTCCCCCGAAGTTGCCAAATCCCTCCCTGAATCATATACTCTCCGCGCCCTTCAGAAGTCAGATTATGCTCGCGGATTTCTAGACGTTTTACGGGTTCTGACCGTTGTTGGGGACATCACCGAAGAGCAATGGAATGAGAGGTACGATTGGTATAGCAACCAAGGAAAAGGTGGCTACTATCTACTAGTCATTGAAGATCAGGGAAAGGTTGTTGCTACGGGCGCTTTGATTGTGGAAAGAAAATTGTGAGTATCTTTAGTTTATGGAGGCCAGTCCCGGGAAGTGATCAATACTGACTCAATGAAAAGCATCCATAATCTCGGTCTCGTAGGTCACATCGAAGACATTGCCGTAGCGAAAGACCAACAAGGAAAGAAACTCGGATTGAAGATGATTCAAGCATTGGACTTCATTGCGGAGAAGATCGGTTGTTATAAAAGCATATTAGACTGCAGTGAGGCCAACGAGGGATTTTATGTAAAGTGTGGGTTCAAGAGGGCTGGTTTAGAAATGGCTCATTATTATGATCATTGAAACAAGCGTCGAGATAACAAGTTTGGGTCTCTAGACATAGCGAATTGGTTGGATTTTGATTTGGAATTAAGCATAGAGCGAGCGTTATAAATGGAAGACAAAAAGGATACCATGTACAGATTTGTTTTGATTGGGAATGGATTATTTACTCCCGGAAAATTTAAAGCAATGCATATTAGATTTATTGTGGTTTTATTTCCTCATCCTTTTTTGATTAATACATTCGCGATTTTTGATGCTTCATACCCATTGAGGTTTTTTGACTGTTTTTTTTCTTCTGGTAGATCCAAGACCAGTCCTCAATCCAATTGGACTAGATTTCATAACAATTCGTGGTTCCTTCTTGATTGGCTTTCTTGCAACGCCAGCAGGGCTCATAAGTCCCAACGCGGAGTCTCTAAATTTCGTCTCTGGATCAATCTTCCTCGAAGGAAGTGAGATGACGGTCGGTTTGATTACGTCTTTCCTGTAGATCTTGATGGGCACAGAAACCCCAGAGCCAATAACCACCCCTGACCGTTCATCAGACACATAGCTGTCAGAATTTACGGACATTCCCCTCACTCTCCATCCTAAAACATCCTCCTCAACTTCGTCCAATAATCCACCCAAGCTTATACGTCCCTTGGAAGCATCATCCAGTCCTATCCTAATACTCTCTTTCCCATCCCCTAAGGATAAGCTACCATCGTTACCCCCCCATACACTTGTTACATTATTTTCAGATTCCCAGTATCCCTTTCCTGCTTTACTTCTGCCATTAATTTTCAAAGGCGGAAGGTCAGCAACCCACCCATCTAGCTCTGCCATTTCCAATTCTTCCACATATTCTTCCACGATATCAGCCAACTCAATCATTCCCTCGACTTCCTCTTCCATGATCAACACCATTTCTGTCAAACCTCCAAGTACATCCCCTTCCAAACCATCTAATTCCTCCCCACACATCATCTTCTCCCCAGTAATTGTGTCCATTACAGAAGCTACTTCTTGAAGTAAAGATGCGAGTTTATGAGCGGTTGTTTGATGACTGGGTGGTGCTGTCGGCATTCGCGGGTAAAGCTGAAGCAGTGGAAACATTTCGGACTGATATGTAGATTCTATTGGGGCTTGCGTCATGACATTTGGATGCCTCTTTGTTGCTACGACCCCGTCATCACGCTGGACTGTGTACTTTGGCATCGATATTGGCGCTATTTAACAGTCTGAAAGCTGATGAGGATTTGAGAATTTTAATTGCTGTTGCGAAATGACTTGAGATCTCTCAAAGTAAAGGAATGTTGATGAACGAAACAGGACTTAAATCTCCAAGATGAGTTTTATTGCTTTGATCCTCGATTGCTCCACAGGGCGTCATAAGTATTTGATTTCTGTGCTAAATATTTACCACATTCCAAGACGGGGTAAAGTAACTCACAAAAATGCTGTTGGTCTGGGAATCTTACAGCCATCCGCAATGCTTTACTGCATCCCAGATCATCGGCCAGAAATCGCATGATGATATTGAGATCTTTAAAATATGCTACTTATGCTGCGAATCCTTTTCATCTGATTGTGGATAATTATCATGGGAATTAACAGATGTTGATCAGGGATCGTGGGAAAAAAGGGGGAACGACAGCGAATCATGGCCGGTTCCTGTACGAGTAATTCATGCAAAATGTAAACGCATTGATGAACCTCCAGTTGAAAGAAAAATGAGGAATGTTTACCTAGGTATTCTTTCATATACCGAGATATGGGGTAACTCAATAACTCATTGCAGGCAAGGAATGAATTGAAATCCATGAGGGAAATTAGGACATCAGAATGGGCTCGGCGACGTCGATAATAGATCTTTATGATAAATTACTTTGTTGAAGACAGTGAAAAATTATACAAAGTCAAACTCAAGAAGCTCTAACACTTAGCTTTAGAACCGCATTCGTATAGTCGATGGAAAAAAAACCAATTGAGGGTTTCGCTGATTTAGCTCGTTATTTTTGACGCCATGATTGGGCAGTGCTGGAATTTGCAGTGGACAAAATTTATTCCAACCCAAGAAGACATTCAAATCTAGCGAGACATTCGAGTTTGATGATATGCTTAAGCTCAATGAAATCGTTCCCACCAGTTCAAACATTCAAGCCGATGTTGAATGTTCAACGCAGAGCGCACTCAACATCACTTCACATATCTTTCGGATAATGTATGACAAGAACACGATTATCGGAGCAGCTTCTAGGCCTCATTGCACTTGCATGGGGTACCTAAGACGATCAGAGGATCGTTGGTTGCTTGAAAAGCCCATCACAAGATCTTTCAACTTCCCGCCACTCAATCTACTTGGTAACACCACATCACATCGTCTGATTTATAAAAGCCCAGATGTTCAACGTCATGTTTCATTCGTTATAGTCGTATTATTCCTAAGATATCTTTCACCTCAACGACCTTCGGATATCGTATCTGCATCCATTTGGGTGGCGCTTGTAAACAATTGGGTTTGATGTGGGCGTATCTGGTTTCCCCTTGAAGCGCATTATAAGATATTCTTGTGGATTTTATTCCCTTTCACCTGAAATTTTCTTCTACCCTCTTATCCTTTTTTCATTCTTCCTGTTGTACGAAAGGATTCGCGATTTCTTCGCTACCATCAACTGGACTTATTCCAATGAGTAAGGTTCCTCTTGCAACCACTAAACCCAATGATCTCCAAGCTTCGGCTCCTTCATCATCTGCGGAAGGACTAAGTCAGTATATGGGTTTGGCAGAATAGAAATATGCTTTACCAGTCAGCTTCTCCTCCACATCATCCAATACCAAATTCATCAGAGCATCATAACCCTTCAATGTGCCTTTCACTAAGGAGAATTTATGTCAGCAACTTTCCAGTTTATCAATGCAACCCATAACGTACCATGTCTGCCACCATTAAACTTGACTGTGACCTGCTTATCCATGTATTTTCCCAAGTCCAAAATATTCTCCTTCTTCGGTTTCTCGAAATTTCCCCCGCCATGTCCACCCCTCTCCCCACCATGACCTCCTCTACCACCTCCCCTGCCACCTCTGTGTTCACCATGACCTCTACCACCTCCACGTCCGCCGCCTCTGTGTTGACCTTGACCCCTTTCAGACATCCTGTCGCATGTATGAGAATATGCGGTCTGTTATCTGTTGGGGAGATTATGTGAGGGATATTGACGGTACCAAAGAATTCTAGAACTTTTGTGATGGAGAGCTACAGCAATTGAAGCAAGTTAGCCGCTAGAATAAAGCGACATAAGTGGCTGACATGGAAGGCTGCAAAGACGAGGCTGAGATCAGAAACTGTGGCTGAACATAAATGTGGAAGGGCGGTGTCGACACAATGAAATTAATTACCATTCCAATTTACAGATCAACATGTTAGAAGTATATCCGCTTCACCAATACAATTCTTACACAATATCTACGAAAGCCCGGCGTTTTAGTTCTTTTCAAAATTGACAAGAGAATGAAAATCCTGCGCCCGGTCATCCTAGGAATCATGTTGAAGTCGAGTGTCAAGTTCTAGGGAGGTTTCTTGAAAGTCAGTTTTCAATCAAACCAGTAATTTACTGGCAACTGTCTCTATTCTACGAGACTGTGAGTGCATATCCTTAGGTAGGTACGATTTCCTAATGTCTTCACATTCTTCACTATCATGTATGGTTGCTATCACAACATCATTCCCGAGCTCATTATGCATTATCACATGTCAAATGATCTTGAAGTTCTATTGTCAACACCCCGCCACGATTCAATGATCTGCATCCTACATCATGGGAAATAATATGTACCACAAACATTCAGTCCTGTCAGGTACGACGACCTCAATTTCATTTCCTTCGATCATGAATTTATAGGGCCAATGTCGAGGAAGTCTTAATTCCGGAAACCTAATCGAAAACCCAAATTTGCCACACATAGCATAATCGATGAGTTTGAAAGAATTAGAGCCTCAAGTTCTAGAGGCTCTGGATGCAGAACTACAATATCAGGCAGAGGAGATAGTGGGAATAGAGGACAATGCAGTGACGTACCATAAACGTCTGCCGCAGATAATTCGAGAATCGACGCTTCTTCCATCGCCGATTGCCACAGCTGTTAGCCTGGTAACGAGGTCATCTTCTCTTTATATTCGACTTGGTACATTCATAGGGGGCCTTGCTATAGATGGTGCACGAGTAACAACACTCACCGGGCTAGAAGTCAGTAGAGCTATTATCGAGGGAATACTACATCGTGCTGGAAAGGACGTTGCAAATCGAAGTACTGGGGAATTAGGAAAGTTGGAAGCAGAAGGGCTATTGGAACGAAGTATTGCGAATTTACACGCCACTATTACAGGAATATCATTCGCTGCTTCTACTAGTTTTCATTTTTCTTCTGTAGCTTTGTCTTCAGCTACAGACATTTCACAACAGTTACTTGGTACACTGGATTCAATTCTTGGTTCGACTGATTCTTCGAGAGCAATAGCAAGCATCATTACATTGATTCGCCGAGAGTTTCAGAACCCCGCCACAGGAGTGGAAGGAGAAAAGGTTGGTGTAGGAGATCTTTTGTTGGGTATTTGTGGGTTGGCACTATTACAAAGATGGTGTCGCAAATTGACCGATTTGGAATGTCGAGAAAACAAACACGAGGAGGTTCTTTGGGATGTGGTTGTACTTGATGATGGCCGGCGAGCGGATGTGGTTGGTATGATATCAGGAGATTCCCCCAATATTCAAAGAGATCCCACCAAATTGTCTTTCATGAATACAAGAGGTGGTGAACTGTTAGAGACGATTGAAAGAGAGGAGTCAAGTCGAGCTGATGATGGGGAAGACAAGGTAGAGAGTGTATTGAGACAGAGGCTAATCAAGTCTCTACCTTCTGATGCCTCTGTTTCTATCACGACCTCTACCATCACAACAACCATAAAAACAATCACCGTGGAAGTTTCAGGATTCGAGCCTCCTGTTTTTCTGCCACCTCCCGGCGTGGAGATACTGGAAGAACATGCTATTCGTCTTGAAAATGCGGACCTAATCAGAGGGGGCAAACAACCAGAAATTACACCAGTACCGAGATATAGAGTCGTGTATGGAATAGTAGGAAATAGATTGCGAAATACGAGTGTCGCAGAACAAGAATTACTGCAAGCCATTGAGAAGAACGTGGAAAGTGATAATAGTTTAGGCGATGACCAGGACTGCGACGCTCCCGGCAGTGTCGCCTATTCAAATATACCCAAAGCGACTTATATCGACGATGGTTCGCCTATACAAGAGGGATACTCGCCCGTCGATCCTCGCCGAAGAACTACTGGTAACAAATCAAAAATGCCCAGGCTATCACTTCCTGGTGTTTTGGATGAGAAATGTATAGTAATTGCGGAAATGTCTTCTTTGGTTTCGGACAACTTGGCAAATCAAAAGAGATCAAGAAAGCCTATCAGCCCAACATCATCAGATGATAGTTCTAAACAGATTTTCCTCAAGCCGATTTCGAACAATCAAATATCTAAAAAATCGAAGACCGATGAAACAACGGTGGAAAGACAAGATAAGAAAAATTCTTTTCGCCAGGCCTTGAAGGGAAGATCAAGTACCAAGTTATCCAATCTGTTCAACAAAGATGAAGGTAAAGAAGACAGCAAACCTAAACTTCCACCTCGACCTCGTCCAACATGGGGAGATCCCACTCATGCATCAATAGTTAGATCTACCTCAGCTCATCTATCAATTCCACAGAAGCGGTCAAGGAGTACTGCAGGCTCCTCAACACCAGTGCGTGGAAATCAGGCCCCATTGACATCGGAAAATCTTGATAAAATTCAGCCCGATCTACCACGCACTCCCTCTAGAACCAGCTATTACACGGTTCACGAACAACGAAAAGATTCAATGGTTTCTCAAACTGACACTTATTCAATCCACTCTTTTGACCAAGGCCGTCCTCATTCCCCAGTAACACCGAAGAATCGTTACATGGGCCAGAATAATGCTATGAGGTTCCGATCGGAGAGGGGTATGACCCTCGAAAATCCACTCTTGACACCCAAAAGCCATCGACGCACACATTCAAATGAAGAAAGTATATTTACATTGAACACAAACAATTCAGAGATTTGTCTCATCCCAAATTTTGGAAGAGAAAAGGGTATATTTGAAGGTGGGGAAGCATTAGATTCCCTGATGCGGACTGGCAAGATCGATGGCACTTTTCCAAAGCGGCATATCATACAGAACATTACCCGTTTCGTCAAATTCGCATCTGCTTCTTACGGCTCCAATTTTCTTCGAGTAATGGGGATCTCGGATCCTAGTACAAGACAAGAGCTTAATGCTATACATCATTTTGAACATCAATCATTTTCGTCTCATACACAACTGCCTGCCGACACTATTCTTCTTTCTTCATTTGTGGATCCTCAAGGTGGGACTGATTCTAGTGGACTCACAAATACTGGTGTTCCAATGGTTCATTATGTATCACTAGATCATCAATCACAAGCTATAGTCCTCACATGTCGTGGTACTCTAGGATTTGAAGATGTTCTCGCCGATATGACTTGTGATTATGATGAACTGGTTTGGCGTGGTAAAGCTTACAAAGTCCATAAAGGGATTCATGCATCTGCCCGTAGGCTTCTTCATGGCGGTGGAGGCCGTGTTATGGCCACAATAAAAGCAGCACTTGAGGAATTTCCAGATTATGGTCTGGTTATGTGTGGGCATTCATTAGGTGGCGGTGTAAGTACTTTGTTGGCTATAATGGTTTCCGAACCTGCTGGCTATGGCACGTCATTCGTTACTTCCTATAATCCCGAAAATCTATCCACATCCCTTGGCGCTACTGATAATTCTTCTCAAATACTACACCTCCCACCAGGTCGACCAATCCATGTTTATGCTTATGGTCCCCCTGCTACGGTTTCTCCATCTCTCAGATCTGCAACCAGAGGACTCATCACAACAGTCGTTAATGGTAATGATCTTGTCCCTCATCTTTCCCTCGGTCTGCTTCACGACCTTCAAGCAGTAGCTCTCGCGTTCAAGAACGACAACTCGGGAGCGAAGGGTGAGGTGAAGAGAAGGGTATGGACGGGAATGAGCAATTCATTTACTGAAAGATGGTATGGGCGATCTGGACATGGAACTGATGAAGAAGAGGAAGATAAGTGGCATATGCTGCACTTAAAGCGCTCCGAGCTTGTATGTTGAGTAATAAGCTGGTACCACCTGGAGAAGTTTTCGTGGTTGAGAGCATGGCTGTCTTAAAACGAAACGCTTTCATAAGGAATAGTGATATGAGCGATGGACAAAATAATGGAGGGGAAGATGGATTAGGTAAACCAGCAACTAGAAGTGTATTAAAGTACGTGAGGGATGTAGAGAAGAGGTTTGGTGAAGTCAGATTCGGGGGAAGTATGCTGTTGGACCATAGTCCAGGAAGATATGAAAGCAGTTTGAGGGCATTGGGAAAGGGTGTCTTGGGCGATTCATGACTCCTTCCCCACAAAATATCATTATTTTCCAATATATAAAGTTATACTTGACAATCGAAGCCTTACTGAGGCTGCACAAACATCATATCAAATCAACAGGAATTGTTCACAGCAAAACTAGCTGTTCAGAGGATGCATAAGTACATCATGCATAGTTGCTATCGATGTTTCCATTCATCCCAATAATTTCATCTGGAAATTATTAGCATGCTAAGGATTACGAGCGAAACTTATCCATATGTCACTTAGCATTCCCGATCCACGTTGTATTCAACCACATTGTATGCTTTCATTCCAACATGTTTCAACATCACTTTTATTCTAAGACTATTGCTTCCTTTGAATTCTTTCTATGCTTGTTGACTAAGTAACTTCTACCAAATTCATAAAATCTTCTAGCTAAGATGGCTATGTTCATCACTCTCCTTGCCATCTCGGCATCTTTCGCTGCTGCAACACGAAAGTCATTACCAGTAGTTGATCTGGGATATTCTATCAATTAAGCTACTATTGATGTATGTTGCTGAGCTCTCAATCGTATCTTTCTCAAAGCCAACATTTCCACGACAACTAGCCATGGAAGATACTATAATTTCTCAAACATTCGGTATGGAGAAGCTCTTGTTGGCTCACTACGATTTTCCAGACCAATCACACCGCGAACTGCCAATCGAACTATAAATAACGGTCAAGAAGCAAGATCATACCATCGAGCACACCCTTATTGGTTAAAGACAGCACGGCAGTATATTAATAAGGTCCCGCTAGATGAGATAAAGCAAGAATGGTTCGGTATCAACAATCCGCCTTTACATGATGCCAGTCAATCCGAAGACTGTTTATTTCTGGATGTGATGGTACCTACTACGATTTTTGAAAAAACTTCAAAGATTGAGACATGCGATGATGAACCTAGTGCCCCTGTTCTAGTTTGGATTGATGGTGGTGGTTTTACTTGTGGATACAAGCATGCAACTAATCCTGCAGGATTAATCGAGAATTCAGTGGTATTAAAGGAAGAGTTCGTCTATGTTTCCATAAATTACAGACTTGGTCTTTACGTTAGTATAAGCACGATTATTCTTAAATTGAACATGCTAATTTTATTAGGGCTTCTTAGGTGGACCACTTCTGAAAGCCGATGGAGATGCGAATGCAGGTCTGCTTGATTAACGATTTGCTTTAGAATGGGTCCAGGAGTTCATTTATTTATTCAGAGGTGACAAGAATCGAGTGACTGTCATGGGGGAATCGGCCGGAGGTGGATCTATACTACATCAAATAACTGCATATGGTAGAATGAGGGGTCCCCCGCCATTTCAACAAGCTATTCTACAAAGTCCGGGTTTTCAGCCAAATCCAGGAAGTTATCAACAAGAAAGAATCTTAAATTACGTCTTGAAGGACGCAAGTAGCTTTTCAAATAGATCGATCACAACTATCGATGATTTGCGAACAGTAGATACTCGGACATTGGCTAAAGTCAATTATTTCATCGTCGCAAATTCTCCTTATGGACTTCATACATTTGGTCCAACTGTCGATGGATCGTTTGTATCCGCACTCCCTGGTCAAGTTCTAGCGGATAAGAATTTTCACACTTCTCTGGAATTGATGATATGGGGAATTGACCAGGAAGGTGTTCTATTCACTTCACCATATATTTTGAACCAAGTAGATTGTGTTGCCGACCTCAAATGGTTGTTTCCAAGAACTCCCGAATTGTTAATTTATGATGTTTTCGCCCTTTATCCCGATCAACTCGATGGGAAATATGGTTATACGAGTGAAATGATGCGGGCGGCTTTTACTAGTGCAGAGTCCTGTTTTGCATGCAATACGAGATATCTGAATGTTAAAGTCGGAAACAAGACATACGTTTATTCATTCAATGTACCTCCGGCACTACACGCAGACGACGTTGCTTATACATTTTATAATGGTCCGGGGAGTGTTACATGGGATGGAAACCCTGTATTTGAAGGTGCGGCACTCTCTCTTAAGATTACATTGTGAACTTTGTAACTACTGGTACTCCGAATGGAAGAAGGGCTCCTGATTTTCCTCACTATGGCAGCGAATCGAATGTTTTGAGTATTAACTCATCGTTTTTGGTAACTATCTCTGTTGATCCTTTGGTGAGGGGGCAATGTGAATGGTGGCAGAAAGCGCTTTATTATTGATTGTATTTGTCATTTTTCGTCATGCATGACGAGAAACAGGGACCATGAATCTCGAGACTTTCAGATTAAAAGCAGTTCATGGCTTAATGGGGATGATGCGGTACAAATTTGAAGCTTGAGCAATGCCTAAAGACCATTATGCTAAGCATTGGTAGACTTGAATTTTGATCTCAATCGTTTTACTTCGTGATTTTTTTGAGGGTATTTTGATTTTTCAACACTGACTCATTTCATTTTCTATCATCTGTAGCACTCAATCATTGTAAGACTCATGAATTTAAATTCCATAAGAACTCATACTTCAATTACGCTAACATGATATGTATCTATTATCCACTAAGCTTGAGCAGGAATAGACAACGCTTCGAGCGGAACATCTTCCTATGATTACCCATGAAATTCGAGAACAAGAAAGTTTCAAATAGTAAATAGTCATCGCTGAAAATTTGTTATAAAGACGATTTCTTTAAAATATGGCTATTATATAATAAATATATATTAAACATCAAGTATTATAGGTATCACCTCGCTGGTGATTATAACGTCTTTATAATAGATTTAATACATTTAGTAATATTATGTCTAATCTATTCTAGATTTAGAGCTACAAGAGCTATATATAATGTGTTCGTGTATTAGTGTACTAGTGCACTCACGTGTGCATATTCACTTGTATTGCTATAAGTATTATTTCTTGTTTGTATATAACAAAGTATTTAGTATCAAAAGACCTAAGCCCCGTGGAATAATATACTAAATATTAAATATTACTAGAACCTGGAGTTTGAATGAAGACAAGAAATTAATAAATCAAAACTATACTATCTATTTATCAATATATTAAGGGCCTTTATAGATTATATCGGTGATGCTTTGAATAGAAGATCTTTCTTTCATAGGCAAAATAGCCTAGTCGACTACAATTGATTATTAACAAGATAATTTCTATAATTGAAACTGACTCAGCAAGCGCTGTCGTTGTCATCGCCATTCTTTCATGGAAGTAAAACTATCTAGTAACTATTGAAAACTTATAGTCAATGGCGAGGCACGAGGTAACATTCGGAGTATTATTAAAATGAAGAGAGGGCATGGAAAAAGTTACAAGTATGCATATCTGGATTTTATAAGACTGCGACCTGCGTGAAATCCGAAAGTTGTAGGTTTAAATAAATGCAATTTCACCCAAACTGACTTTCCCAAAAGGCTATGCCCAGTATGAGAACGTTTGCGATATTAAAATTATACAATACCAAGACCATACGAGATTCCTTGATTATCAAGCGGTAGCAAAGGTGAAATAATAGAGCCGTTTCTCGTGCTCAATTATCTTGAGTTACTCCGCATTCTTCTTCTTTTTTGCGTGAGATTTCTCGTTTCTCTTCTCGTTCTTTCCGCAACTTCGTTTCCTCAATCTCCTTAACTTTGGCCCAGGTTTGAAAAGCATTCTTGTTCTGCGTACAACATATCACAACTTCTCGTGTAGCTAGAACATCCTCCAAGCAGTCGTGAATGGCACCTTTGTTCTTTCTAATCTCTAACTTGAGAAGTTCGGAGCACATTGTTGACAACCCCCAAGTTCGATTGAAGCCAACTTCTTTTTTTGCAAGAATCGCGGAGTCCACAATACGGGGGTGTATTATTCTTAGCGCATCCAAGTCATTTTCCAAAGCATGACCGATAAGGATTGTGTTAGCATCAATAAGTTCCCACAACTTGGATCGAGCCTCTTCCCAACCATCCAGTGCCTGACCTCGTGAGACAGCTTCATTGAGAGTGTGTATACTTATGCCATGGATGGATGATCTCATATCGTTAATGCGCTCTTTCGGACATATGAGATCATTAAGAATCACTGCACCTGAAACGAAGTCGACTGCGCAGAGTAAGATCGCTTCACCACCACCACCACTGGCTACTCCTGCCATTTCACAATCGATGACAACCGCCAGATGTTTGGGTTCATTAGAAGCAGCTGGGGTCTGTTGAAAGTCCTGGTGTCTGAATGATCTCAAGGGAAATTGGAAATCATGTATTGGCAAAGTCTGGCAACCGTGGGCGCCTGGCTCGCTTCCGTTGATCCAGCAGCATTTGTAAGGCTTTCTGACATTCTGCAGAGTTTGAATTATCAGTATAATCCTGGCACAAATTTTCGTCACACCTCAAAGAATAGACACGTACCCACTTGTTACGCTTGTATGGATGAAAGGTGCATGGCTTTTCGTAATCAATTCTTAGTTCTCGAACTATGGCCTAGTCAGTTTGAATTTTCAGAACTAGAATCAAGCATGGAAAACTTGCCGTTACAACGCTTGCATTTTCGAGAATCGACATAATCCGACTTATTATATAGTTGCATAATGTAATTGTTAAATTGGAGATCTTCTCGCGAATGACAATGTGAAGATAATGTGTCTAGCACCATCCGAGACTCAGATTCATGAAACGTTGACCAGAGTGATTCTACAACTGGTACAATCATCGCGACAGTAAAACTAGGAATTTGGGTTGGAGTGTAAGTGGAGATAATTGGAGTCAGAAGTTGATAATATCCGTCTGGAACCGTATGATTCAAATTTAAAGACGCGCCATTATGTTGACAGTGATTCATTTGGATGGATTGAGAAGGAGTTGCCTGTTGATATGGCGTTTGTCCAGAATTTGTATGGTTGGATCCCACTGGATGGAAAACATTGGATTTGCTTTGAATAGAATTCTTGTGAATCGATGAATTATTGACATGTTGTTCTAAACTTCTGTGGTCTTTGAAAGACCTTTGACAGAGGCTGCAGAAGGCCGACATGGTGTAATTTTGGAATTGATCAATTTAATTGTCCTTTTCGATCGATTGATTTGAGGTGGTTGCTGGTGAGCAAGATAGCTACAAAAAGAATTACCCCGCTTCCTTCCTACCTGAGTAGGCAACACAAAATTATGAGGTGGCACTGAGGTACAAAACTTGAAACCATATAATATCCAAGTTTGATTGGAAGTATTGTTGTTACATGGCGTCTTCATATCGTCCACCGAACAGAAACAAGTCAACAACACAATCATCGACATTAGGTATCTAGCCTAGCTAGGTACATCCTACCACAATCATTGACGGATCTCACCCATAGAGTTATGACAACAGGATCCCAACTTTTGGACACAGCTCAAACGTAGAAAAATAGCGAGATCAAACCAAAAAAATAGAGGCATCAAAAAGAGAGCTACTTGCCTCTGTTGTGTCGATTAGTAATCAGCTCGAGTGACTACTAAGTCTATCCCCCTCTTACCGAACACCCCTGCATTTCGGACATTTTTATCACCAAAAATCAAAAAAATTGAATTTTTTAACTTTTTTATTTATTAATATAATTCGATAAAATTAAGTATATAATATTATAATAATAAAACAAATATATTATAAAAAATTTAGATTTTTAATTAAGTTTTATTTAAAGTTATTAATAATTGAAATTTTATTTTTTATTTTATATATAATTCTTATATAAATAAAAATATTATTAAATTATTAATAATTTTTGAATGAAAATAATTAAAAATAAATTACAAATTTTAATTTTAGTTTTAAATTATAAACTATAAGAAAATACTTAAGAATATTACAAAATATTTTATAATTCTTGATTTATAAAAATTATTAATTAAATTGATATTTTTAATTTTTATAAATTTAAAAATCTTTAATATTATTAAATATAAAAATTATAAAAACTAAATACTTATATTTTTATATATTTTATAATATAAGATTTTGATTAAAATTTGTAATTTATTTTTAATTATTTTTAATTAAAAGTTATTAATAATTTAATAATATTTTTATTTATATAAAAATTATATATAAAATGAAAAACCGAATTTCAATTAAAAATATTTTCTAGTAAAAAATAGCTAAAAATTTAATATCTTTAGAATTGAATATTATTAATATAAAGATTATAATATTTCAATTTTATTATATTATATTCAATTATAATAAAAATATTAATAGATTAAAATGATGGTTTTTGGTGGTAAAGGTATTCGAAATGTAGGGGTGTTTGATAAATGAGGGGGTAGACTTATACTAGTACTTATAACAATCATCATATCTTGTTTGATTGAAGTTATAAAGTTATAAAATTGGAAATCTTGAATGTTATATCTAATATGCATATTCTCCATTAATTGGAACCGCCTCTCAATAATCTTAAAATCTTCGTAAAGAGCTCTTCGGAAATCACAAACGCGATCAAAACGCTTCCCCGACCCTGATTAACATTGCATGAGTTGATGCGCCCCGAGTTCTCTAACGAGCATCGAGAAGCGTTTGCCGTAACCCTACAGCAGTCATCGAGGTGCAAATTTTCGTGTCTTTATATCGAAAATTTATCAAATCCGCTTCCTCTTCTACTTTGGACAAATTATAATTTACTCGTCGACGTTCTTGTAGTGTTGGGTGAGTCATTGGTTCCAATTCTTAGCACCAATTCAAAAATGTTATGAAGATTCGCGATACTGTAACGACTCATATTCGTGAATCTAGGAAAAACTTCGATAGATATAAAGATTACACCTTCAATTGAAGAATTGTTCATGGCAGTTGTTGATTAATCGCGTGTTGAATTGAAATATATTCGGATGATCAGGAAGTGCGTAGGGTCGTGATAAACTATAGTATCTCATTTAAAATACCTATAGCTAGAGATGATTTTGACTATTCCATGCACAACCGTATGTATTGCAAAATTCATATTACCATTGTAATACTACTGCATAATTACTATTTTCAACACTTGAATCAACTAAGCATAACCACTAAGCATAACCACTGCGGTAGGCTGTCTTTACCTGATCCAACCCGTACCTGGACATCCACTCCGCAGATCGATAATACCCCTCAATCAAATGACCTATCTCACCAAATTCAGCCTCAAAATGACAAGTCACCTCTTGTGGCAAGATATAACGATGGCCTCTCCAGTCTTGGAAATGATACGGAGGAGCAAGAGGTGTCCGATCCCAATGATTCAAAAAATCCCAAGCTCGGATCTGGTACTGCCCGTAATATTCATTGAGCAATGTGAGATAGCCCATATCCCCTGCTCCCGTACTTGCAAATGTGAGGTGTTGAACAAGTGATCCAAGGTTGTCATCGAATGCCCAGTCTTGAGGAGATGAACAATGAGAGCCATAAGTGTGGCGGACATGTTCAACAATACCCGTGAATCCCAGACTATATATCGCCCATCAGCTTGTTTTCTAGATATATGATGCAAGAAATTGAGACCTTACGTGCTCACCCCTCCACCCATGGAATATCCAGCAATAATCAATTTCTTTGGCACTATGTTATGATCCTGCATTGTAGTGACTGCATCACCGAGAGCGGAGAAGACGACATCTTTCATTCCGTTCCACATGTCCAAGTAGAAACTGTGAACTCTATTCCCGTCATCGTATACAGGATATGGAAGATCCCACCAGTTCGGACCTTTACCATCAGTCCATGTGTTTACTAGAATCTCATCATCCGTGGACCCTTCAAAGGCAATGGTGATTGTATCCTGGTCGTTGACAAGAATAGCTTTGCGATTTTGATTGATACCGGTGTGAATCTCAATGATTTTTGAGGCGGAAACTGTATCGTAGTTGCGAAGATCGCTCTGCAGAGCAGCAACATCTGGAATTTCAGAGGCTCTCCAAAGTATCAAGGCAGCATATTTGACATCGTGCCAATCACTAGTTCCAGGATCGAGTTCTACCAGAGGCATATTTCATTAACTTAAAGGCTGTGTTCGATCAATATCAACTATTAACAAGCTCTTAGCAACAGACTTCGTATTGAATATGATGTTCACTGTCTGCTGGAAATTACGTGAGTTGTCGGTGGATATGTGATCATGTCGCAACTTACTGGTTATTATATTTTGAGCTGTCTTTTGCATTGAAAGTATTACGCGTGATGGGAGAATGCTTGTATTAATTGCTTTAAGGTTGCAAGGTATTAAATCTGATTTGCTTAGGATTATAATAATAAACCATTTAAAGGATGTATAATGGATACCCTCTGAGTTAACGAGTAGGTTGGACGGTTATAACACGGATATCTTCGGTTTGCCTTGTGATATCTATTAGCTAGCTTTATATTAGAATCGTTATAGATAATGTTTAGACAGAATATTAAGAAAGAGACTATCTAATGATTCAAAGTAATAAACATCTTTATAAATGATTAGAATAATATAGTTTAATACTAATAAGTATATTACAGAAGTAATCATAAACTTATCAGCATCCGCTCAATACAATAAAAGATAACTTATCTAGATCCATATCAGCTGTCCAACAACATTTGAACAAATTGATGTGACAGATTGCATTAAGGAACAAGACGTCGTATTATAATTCGGCTTATCTACAAAGCTGTGAGCCCTTAGCAGCGAAGTGTTTAAACCTTGCGAAAAATAACAAATTCGAGGATAGTCAATCAATCTATATCCTCAATTCTTCATAATATTAAGTGTTATAACTCAGCCCGCATATAGATAACTATTCAAAATAGACTACTTCCTTTCTAGCCCCTGTTCACACATTAAGAAGAAAGAAAAGAGTATGATTTAAAAGAGGTTAGAAGAGTTTAGTCTTGTAAAAAGGCTATCGTCATAATCCACTTCTATACCGCTCGTATACCATTTACGGGTCATATTCCGAGGGTGTGGTTGGTTCTGACATCCTTAAATCGATTGCTATATTTTAACTATTTTTCAGGATTATAAATTTTGGTTTTAGGATTAAAGACACGTTTAGTTAAATCTTGTAGTATTAATGAATCGTGATTACACATCAATACGCGAGATTATGATATATGAGGCGTCGAGGAGACTATGATTTTATATTTCAAAGGTTTGTTTTTTGAGTTGAGGCTTTTTGAAAAGAGGTGTTGTTTTGATTCAGCTGGTCTATACGCGGGATGGCTTTGGTGGCTGATATGTCCCAACTCAGCTTGAAGTTCAGCTATTGATATTATGCGGCTCGATATATAGGATATCTACTTTAGGATTTAAGAGTAAGTATCTTTTGATAATTGACTGTAATGCGGGCACTATCGTCAGGTCGTATGTATACACATCAGTCCACCGAAGGACTATTGACAATGAGCATGTGCGAAATCACCTTATCAAGAGCTGAGCAGCCGAGTTATAAGCCTATAACTATATATCTACAGCTGTTTCCCAGTGTGCTGATTGTTTTTAAACATTAACGCCAGATACATCGTCATTTGTTGTGCAAATTCCTCTTTCGTTCCTACATACATCGATAGCTCATTTCACAATGTCCGCGACAGTAGATTATGAAGACGACGAGGAGATGCTTCTCGATGATCTTAGCGGCATCAACGCGACAAGTCGTGCGGTCGACTTGTCGACACAAGACCGCCAGGGACTCTTGAACTTGGCCAAGCAACACCCAGACATCGTCATTTATCCTGTTATAGGCCTTTCTTTATCAATTTCTGCATTCGTCTTTACCTGGATATTCAGTAGGCAAATGTGGACTTGTCCTAATTGGACAAGTGATTGCCAGGTCAAGCCTGTTGTCGCCTTCCTCATTCAAAACTACGCAATCGTTCAGGGTGTTGTGAGCACAGTTCACGGGATAGGTTTGAGTACCCAAGCTTATTCGGTTTACACATTAGCTTCTGCATCACTATGGGCAGTATTTTCTCGGCGATCTCATCGACTTCACGACATTGACAGCTATCTTTCCGCCGCCGGAGGCTCACTACCAACACTTCCAAAGGCAATCTAC